CTGCCCTGCTTAACTTCGAGAAGCAGCCAGCGATGACTAGCTGACTGTAGTGCACTTTCGGTATAAGGTGTCGTTGACAAAACAAGATCATTACCCTTCTGGCACCTTCACCTTTGCTCTCTCCTGGTGGACAGCGCTTTCAGTCATTTCTTGGAAGTGTTCGGTTTCTCTTCCATCAGGCACGAATCCGGACGTATGTGAGGGGCATCCTACTGCTCACTCCTAACTGTACCGTCATCGCGGACTGTCGCAATGTGGAACATCTGTTAGAACGCCAGTTTTGTTGCCGCTGACGGTAACTGGGTACTGAAATATAAGCCACTGTAGTTTTTCAACTCTCCTAGAATTTAACCGCCAAAAATAAATAGCCAATGTGTAAAGTAACCATGAGAGTAAAATGTATTAATTTGGCTACAGCTTTCCCTTCATTCCATTCCTGAAAATTTGGGACGCACTAATTTGCTCGTACTATTTAATAATAAAAATTAAGTGCAATGCCTCTTAAGTCATCGAGAAGTAGCATACTGGCGCTAGCGTTCACGGGTTCTTCGAAGTATCTGCCAGAATAGGAACCAACTATCCTGAAAATACGCTGAGTTGAATCAGGGAATTTCTTCGTTTGTGGCGGTTGCCACTGACCTGCAATGAACTGCTCAATCCTAGATTCGTTGGCATTCGAGGCATTGCTCCCTTTGCAGATCAACAATGAACTTCCATATGAATGGACGATGCGAGTTAATAACTTGCGAAAATTCTTGATGCCATCCTTCTACGGCATTATTCGTTTTTGGTAGGCTCTCATGGATCGTGTTAAAGCAATTCCAAACTGTCAGAGAGAAGCGTGGTTGCCTTCGTGCCTGATGTCGATCTGGACGGCCAATCCATGTATCTTCGAAGTAGTCCATAAATACTTGCGCTTTGATCGGGTTCATTTCTGAAACGACCTGAAATGCTCGCTACACTGCAGCAATTGTACGAAGGAGCGTGCAATGAGCGTTCGGGTTTTTATGGCGAAGGTGGCATCCGTTGAGTATCTTTGTTGGAGACTGTTCGCCTGAATGCCTTTTCACTTGGTGATTGCATTGGCCAAAGTTAAGAAAGCACCCGCGATGCAGGACGTTCGGAAAGCTTCTTTGGAAATTGTTAATGGCTGCATGCTCGAAATCAGTCAGTACCGATTGAGGCGCCAAACTTTGTTCCAGGTGTTTCCAGTCCTCCAACATTCGCAAATAACTCGCCTCAGTTATGCCCGGCAGCAAAACAAATATCGATGGTATGTTGGTGCATTGTATCCCATGAATTGTGTACAGTTGCTGAAACAATCAAGGAACTGTTTTAGATATTCCACTGACATACCAGTTCGATGACTGCACAACGGTCGCAAATTATTCCTAGTAGAAAAAGTTAACACAGATCGCTAGCGGGTCCGCTGTAGCGCATCAGGAAATCTTCACAACCAAACGTCTGCCTGTACTCTTCCTACGGTACCAAACCATTTAGATTGACTATCTGCTTCATGCTATGTATGGACGACAGTTTTTCCATTACTGATTGTGACAACCCTAAAGAAGCTAAGGCCACAATCTCATGGGTAGAATCCTGGAACATTATAGCACGTTCCTTCAGTTCTTCGATAACTCTCTCTACTTTAGCTTTGGCTCAATCAACAGCGTTGTTGTTTCCCGACTGAAAAAATGACGCGCTCGTCCGATGCGTGCAATCCGGCACGACACTTATTCTTCCCACTGAGTTCCCTTTCTCACACTGCCTTTTTTCCATCTTCTTGTCTTTGACAAACAAGTTACCCAAGTGCAGTGACTTCGACTCCCCCCTCGTACTCGGAATCAGCTGCAGAGACAATTCTTGAAGACTG